AAAGCCGAAATGCCGAAAAAAATGGCGTATTAGTAGACCTGCGGTAACCGTAAAAAAAGACAACGAAAAGTTAAGCATCCCCCGGATTTTTTATTTCGCATTTGCGAATGCGAAAGTATAAAGATGACAGAAGAAAAAGCCAAACTTGGCTTTTGCTTCTGTCCTTTTAAACTTTTGCGAATAATAACGGAAAAAGAGACGAAATAAAAATTAATGTTTATAAAATTATTTTTAAATTTGTTTGCTAATTTTATATTTAGTAGTAGTCGATGATATTTATATATCATTGGTAGTAGTATAGAGAGGATTTGCGTAAAAATTGTAAGCTAATTAAACTTGGAAAATTTTAATTGGAATTATTGATAACGACCTCGGTGAACCATCAAGCAAGCGAATTTTCAGATCCTTGCACACTGAGCAATAGGGTGCAGTGAAATTTTTTTTTTTTTAAATTCATTTGCCTGGGTGTGCAAAATTTTTCTATTCATGTCAGAATTTTTATTTCATTTTTACTCTGTAAAAATTGCAATGCTCTAGGAAATTATCTTGAGGTGCCCCTTGGACTTTGAAACTCACCAAAATCCACAAAAAGTGACCAACGGAAAAAAAGTTAGAATTTTTTTTGTTTGTTTGATATTCATTTTGTCTGAATGTGCAAAAGTTGTCTATTCATATCAGAAATACTCTGTAAAAATTGCAATGCTCTATGAAATTATCATGAGGTGCCCCAAGGTCATTGAAATTCTCCAAAATCCCCAAAATGTGACCTAGCGACTACGGAGTACGGAGCATGGACTACCAAGATAGACTTTAGAAATAAGACTTTTTTTTAAATTTGTGTGTGTCTGGGTGATATAATAATATTATTATTTAGTGCTATATAATTAGCTGCTATAATGCTGCCATCTGGCGAGTGAATGTGCATGTATTATTATGTAAAATACAAACGGCGTCAAACAAAAACACAGAATCTAGCAGATAATTATTAAAATTATCATTTATATTTGCTGTGTTGTCTTTGTATGGTTGGATCATGGGACAAAAGATTGAAACTGTACGAATGAAGAAACCACTCACCCGCAATGATAACATATGCCCAGTATTTGGCATCATTTCACGAATGAGCATAAATGTTTTGTCAACGTATACAGATATCATGAAACATTTTATATCAGTAAGAAAAGAATTGTCTGATGGCCATGCCAAAGAAGCTACAATTAATGAAACAACCAGGAAGATATCTGTTGATCTTGAGACAATATGATACAGAGCATCAATTCCAGTAATATCCCGTCAGCAAATAATATATTACATTACAAATGTCGCTCACTTATGAAACCGTTTACACAGAGATCCAAGGACAAGGAGTCACAGTACCTGAACAAAGTTGAAACCTTTAAAATTGACTCAAATTGAATTTTTGATATTGCTTCATGTAAATGTAAAGACTTTTCGACATGTGCTTGTGAAAAGAATCGTAAAGTTCCACCAAATGAAATAATATTTCTTGCAGATCAAAGAACAGAAAGGAAAATGGCTACTGGCAACGTTGATATTAAAACAACAAAGCAGCAGGAAAAGACACTAAAAAGAAAACTTGCAGATGAATTGAGATTTTATAAATGTGAATCAATAACAAATGCTTAAACTTTGAAAGCGCATCCAGGTTGTAGCTTGAAGGATGATTGTAATAATGTCACGTTAGGTGATTTAGATAAAGCTATCACCGAAAGAGATAGTAATGAAGATGTTGACTTCATGACAGACTCGCCTAAGTCACCATCATCAACTAATAATACAAGCTCACAAGAAATTTTAGACTCTTAAATGTGAACTCCACTACCAATATTAGCTCGTGAATGTGATCGATGGGGAGAATTGGATCGCTCAGCTGCAGCATTAGCATTGGCTGTTTTGGTTGATTATGGCATTGTTAATGCACATGAATCATCTGATGTTATTGACCCAAGTAAAATTCGTAGAGAAAGACAGAAAAAGAGAAAAATTTTACAAGCTGTTGCTGCCAAAACATTGGAAGGGTTATATTTCGATGGTCGAAAGGACAAAACTCAAAGCCAGATCATTAAAGGAAACAGATATCATTCAGCTTTGGAGACCGAGGAGCACGTTGTGTTAATAAAGGAGCCTGGTTCTGAAAACCTGGAATATCTCAAAACATCACAGGGATCTTCAAAAAGTATAAAGATAAGCATTATACTATTTTTGAATGCAAATGCTTTTGATACCAGTTCATTGGTAGCAATCGGATGTGATGGCATGAATGTCAACACCATCGGATGTGATGGCACGAATGTCAACACCACCAATATTACCTGACACCAATATTACCTTAACTGTGTTATTCGACTTCTCGAGCTTCGTTTCAACAAATCGCTACACTGGTTTGTATGTTTATTACATATGAATGAGTTACCATTGAGACATCTTCTGATTAACCTGGATGGATCTACATATGGGCCAAATTCATTTAGTGGTCCAATCGGAAAACTATTGAAGAACATGGACTTGCCAATTGTCAGTTTTCAACCAATCGAAGGAAATGTGTTGTCCAGCATTGATGCAGATAATCTTAGTACAGATCAAAGGTACTTGCATGAAATGTGTTAAGCAATATCCAGTGGCCAATGTAGTTTTGAATCGGGTAATCGAAAACCGGGACCCATGTGTCATTCTCGATGGATAACAACTGCTAGTCTATCCTCCGGTTATATGTATTACAGAAAAGCCAGACAAAAAACTTGATCATTCTTGTAACTTACATACAAAAGGTATATGCACCTATTTGGTGATAATATTATAAATTTGATACTTGCCTATCGAGCTCAAGAAAATTGTTGATCCTGTAATCCAAAGAAATTTATACTTTACTTACCCAGAAAACTTATTAATATCAACGGCAACCGATGAAAGGCTCCACATTTGTCAATTAGCACTAAGACGTGATTGGCTGCAAGATCGATATCCGACAAGACCGATGCTAAACCTACAGTTAGATTGTTCAAGATACCATCGCTAAACTTTGAAGCAACAGATTATACAGACATAGTGGTCATCAAATAAAAGTGCTGAACCTCCAATGCTCAGATCAATTGAATCGACTCAGCTTAAAAATAGCATTCTGACCTCAGAAATGCTACAACTTAAAAGCTTCCATGCCACACTCAGTCTGTAGAAAGAAGCGTGAAGCTAGTCACTGAAGCCAGTATGGCAGTCTGTGAACCTCAGCGTGATGGTTTTATTCGTGCAAGAATAGAGTCGCGATCAGCTATGAAAGTCTTTAACACAAAATTTGATTTCAGCCTTTCAAAATGACGTTCTTGAAATGATTAACTGACAGAAAATAAACTTGAAATAATTGCTATTCTTAATTTTTGTGGCACCTCAAAGTTCTACAATTTACATAAATATATTTTCATTAGGTTCTGATATGATGTTTAAACCATTATACAGGTTTATTATAATAGAAATCGAAAAACAAGATCAGTTTATTTTTAGCCATTGATTTTTTTGTGAAAATATGAATTTAATAATAGTTGCAGTTTCTAACTTTTTGGGGATTTTTGGGGATTTCAAAGTACTTGGGGCACCTCAAGATAATTTTCTAAAGCATTGAAATTTTTACAGAGTATTTCTGATATGAATAGACAACTTTTGCACACCCAGGCAAAATAAATTTCAATGTTAATGTTATCACTGCACCCTACTGAGCAACATTGACGCTAGATATCTTTTAAGGTCCTCACCAATAACTAGCATCTTTTACAAATATTTTTAAAGCTATTGTGGACGATGTAAAACAGACTAAAACATTTTGAAACATTGTAAATGACAGAACAAAAAGTAACTTTTAGCTTTTTTGGTCTCAGTTCAAGACTTTTGAAAGAGCTTTTATATACTATACTCAAGACTTTTGAAAGAGCTTTTTTATACTATACTTATGTAGTATCCTTGTTTTGAATCAAATCAAATTGAACAGAAAAAAGTAACATTTAAGTTTCAAATTACGCGCGGATCAATTAATGAATCATCTTTGCAGTAATTACTCAAAAATATTTAATCAAAGGATTGAGTACGGTCAAAGACTTTAGAACTGTAAATTTGACAGCAAACATTTGTAGAAAATTAAGTTGGCTTTTTGTTAGAATTCATTTACTTTTTGTTAGAATACATTTACTACATATGTGTTAGAATCTAATGAAAAAAATGTTTTTCTATTGGCAAGGTATCAAAAAAAAAATTTTGAGTGCAGTAAAAAAGAATGTATGTGGAATGCTGTTTTTTTTCTAATATGAGCAGTGGCGGTTAAAGTCAACAGAGAGACCTTAACAGTAAACTGAACTGCACTACTTCAAAATTTTAGCAGGGTAACCCTTCCTTCTAAGTTTTTTTTAGTAGTAAAGTTTCTCCAAAAAGCCGTAAAGTTTTTATCATAGAACACAGCGAAGGAGCATTTATCTAAAAAGTTTTCTTCCCTTCAAATGACGGTTATTGGGTTAGAGCCGGCATTATACCTCCTCGTTCTGAGTTATAATTATTATCACTGCGCCACGGTTGCTGTTTATAAAAAGCCACGTTAAATAAAAATTTATTTTCATTTTATCTAAAAACGATAACAAATGTTATCATTTTTAGATAATATACTAACAAATATTTGATTTCCTAATATATCAAGCATTTTTCTGAATTAATATCTAGATAACAGTTTCTTGATTTTTTGTATCTATAAAACATGCATTTTCCCCATGTTTAGGTGATTTTCTAGAGAAAATTCCTTGCTCAATTAACCTAAAACAAGTAAGAGTTATACTGTCACATCAGGGATTACTAAAACCATACATTTATTTTTATGTAGTCACTTATTTAATGTAGTGGCGAGGACAGAATCGACGGAAAAAAAAGTAAAACAATTAAGATATTAAACAATAGTATAATAATCCATAAATATATTTAAGCTCTATTATTTATAAAAAATATAAAAATGCGAATTAAAAAATATTGGCTGCACATTCATATTATATTAGAGAGACAATAAATTTTACAAAACAATATTTAACAAAAAAGAAGGAAATGCAAAAGAGTAAGAAAACCAAATTTACTATGCGAAACATAAATTTTAATTTTGGAACAAAGAGACTGATATTGTTACATTAACTATGCACAAAATATAATTACACAACCAGCCATATAATAAAGGCCAGCATTCATCTGATTATTTAAAAACTAATTGTCTTTTATTAATTATCACATATATAAATAATATCATCTTTCATCAGGTCGATCTCAATTTATGCTAGAGCAATGTCAGTTTCTTCAACGAAAAATAATTTCAATCGTTGAAGTCTAAAACTGTTTTTTACTTTCTAATAAATTTAATTGAATCAAAAGTAATTGAGTTTAAAAAAATTGTGAAAACAGCAATTGTCAAACAAAAAATTACTGTCAATTTTATGCCTTATAAAGCAACACTTTATAAATGTAGTAAAAATTCTTCTTAAAAAACGTTTTTATTTCACTCATCCACAGTAAATTAATTTTTCAAATATTTTGAAGATGGCAGGAAGATTGTATTGGTAATCTTCTGAAAGTTATTTTTGTTATTAATTCTTGTAGTATATTGAGATTAGTTTGTGTGTAAGTACTTTAACGTCTAAGTTCCTTGCTCCTTTGCACAACTTCTCTTTTTTAAATCTATCAATAAAAAACAATCGATTTTTTTAAATCTATCAATAAAAAATAACCTTATAGGATGTTTACCTGAAACTTTGGTTAATGAGACTTTTATATTTTGCCATACAAGCAGGTTGCTAAAAGTTTCACAAACACTCATACTTAAAGGTAATTTTTTAAAACATTTGGAACAGATGACAACATATGTCACAATTTTCGGGTGTTTATGTTATATAAATCTATTTATATTAAAGAAGTTTTACATAACATGAAATATATAACAATATATAAAACTATCTACGACAATGATGACATCGATTTTCTAAAATTGATTTTTTAAAACCCAATGCCCTTTACGACATTAACCAGTTTTGCAGATTAGGAATTTGTAACATAGAACATCAAGAAATAAAAAAATTAAAAAAAAAAAAGTTAAAAAGAAGTATTTTATACAAATATTCCATTTTTTTAGAGGATAATAGGGGATTTTAGAGGAGATTTTTTAAAAAAGAGGAATTTAGAGGATCTTAGACCAGCTGTGACCACCCTGATATATATATATATATATATATATATATATATATATATATATATATATATATATATATATATATATATATATATATATATATATATATATATATATATATATATAATTAATTTTAAATGTATTCTCCAAATTTTTTTAATTCTGACTCACTCCCAACAAGGCAAGCAACACCTATTCGGTTGAGAGTTACTGGAAAAAAAACAGAGTTTATATATATATATATATATATATATATATATATATATATATATATATATATATATATATATATATATATATATATCTGCATTTTTTGTGAAATGCAGCAGATTCATTAATTAAAAAAACAACTACTTTCAAAACAGTTTCTTTATCTACCATTACTAAAAGTATTCAAAACTAAACACTATATAAAAACAAATGGGTTTAAAAAATCTTTTTACTACTACTGATTATATATATACATATACATATACATATATATACATATACATATACATATATATATATATATATATATATATATATATATATATATATATATATATATATATATATATATATATATTTATATATATATATATATATTTATATATATATATATATATATATATATATATATATATATATATATATATATATATATATATATATATATATATATATATAAAATCAGTAATAGCAAAATACTAAAAATTTCTGAAAAAACTGACGCTTACATTTGAAAATATATAATGATCCACATTATTAGACAAACTGTAGCTGCCTTAACAGCAAGTGAGTTAGAAACTCACTTCAAAAGCTTTTGATAATATACTGCAATATAACTTCAATTTAACAAACTAACTTTTGATAATTTGTTCAATTTTCAGCAAAAACTGAAAATTGAAAAAATAAATAAATAAATAAAAATTTGTCTCATTTTTTCTCAAAACTGTTTACATTTGTTGACTTGACAACTTCCAATGCACTCCGTAATTTTGCTGTGTTCCCAATGTGATCCATAAATTTGCTGCTCTGTTTATAATAAATTCATATCTAAATATAAACTTACTTCATTCTTTATTGTATTTCTTATCAAGGCCTCTGCATTATTTGAGAAAATTGGCTTTTTTAAAAATTCTAATTTTTCAATTGAATTAAAAATCTTGACTATATAACAATTTTTTTTTTGTTTTTAGTGTGTAATGTATTAATTTTTGTCTTATAATGGGCAATTAAATTTTTTTCCAGTTTTAACAAAATATTGAACTTCATATACAAAGTCCATTTTGTTTCTAAACAGTAATAAATTATCCTCTTACTAGACAGTTTAAATATAATAATTTGATTAGAACATACCTTTTTTCATAAACAGCACTTTCCAAAAAAATTTCTCCTAATGCTTGCATTTGTTGTCAAATTTCTAAATATAAATAAACTAATATACTTATAAATAAATTAGTATACATATAAAGACTTCAAAGAATAATAAAAATAAAATTTATTTAAAAAACTTTTTTTAAACAAATTTAAGTTTGCTGCTAAACTAACTACTCTAAATTTAATGTCATTAAAATAAATATGTTTAGCAATTGTTTAAAATTTTCAAACTATTAAAAACTTTTAAGAATTTTTTCTAACATTTCAAATATCTTTTTGTCAAGTTGTATTTTCCTAGAAAACTTAAAAACTACCAAAGTTAAAACTGATTTAAAACTATTAATGCCAAATTATACGCAAATTTTTGTTGGCCTTGGGGAAGTGAATAACAAAAAAAAAAAAAAAAAAAAAAAACTCTATAAAAACTGATTTAATAATATATCAAAGTCATCAAAAAAAATTAGACCAGCAGCTCAAAATTAAGTTAAATGGGAAAAATTTTGGTGCAAAAAATTTGTAAACTACTTGGGTATAAGCTAGACAATACCTTAGCCTGGACTTATAATGATAACTCTAATAAGTTGATTAGATCTCTTGCCATTTTACCAAAGCTAAAACATTTCATACAACAAAAATCTATTTACTATACTTTATTTCACCCTCACATCACATATTGCCTTCTATTATGGAATCAAAACATAAGTGAATCACCTATTTATCATGCAGAAAAAAGCAGTCAGGATTATTGAATTTCTACCAAAAAGTACCCATACATTCACATCTTTAAAACACTACAAATTTTAAAATTACATGACATAATCAAAATTGAAAATTGTTTACTTATTCACAGCTGCATAAACAGCTCAATATTTAATAAATGGTTTTTCTTTGTGGTGCAATTAGCTGTCAACTCGCAAGTAAATCTTGTAGAGGTGCACTGAGTGTGTAAACATATAATACAAAATCCTACGGTAAACATTCCTTTAAATATTTTGCATTAATGGACTGGAATTAACTTTAAAATAAATCAAAAACAATCCCTTTTTACAACATTAAAAAAATGTCTTCAAAACTAAATTAAATTAATAGTTGTTACATCAAGATAAATAGAAACAGCAATTGTATCACTAGTTATAAAATATATATCACCATAGAAGATATATAAGATATAAAAATGAATGTTGACTAATAGCAACCTTCTGTGCGTGTATTATTTATTTTATTTTATTTATTTATGTTTTGTTTTGTTTATGATGGCTCTCCTCAATTGAGACAGGCTATATAAGAGTGAACCATCCAGAATGTAGACTGCAGATATATTTTTTGTAATTTATAACATGCTTATGTAAAATATCTATACTGCTGGTAAATATTTTGCCTTTTGTTGTTGTTTCAGTTTATTTAAGGAAAACATGGCTGTTTTCCTTATATAAGTAAAACAAAGTACATCAGTTTGAGGTTTGTCAAACTGATGGATCAACCATACTACTGTTTGATCCATCAGTTTGAGGTTTGTCAAACTGATGGATCAACCATACTATTGAAATAGGCATACTTCAAAGTTTACATTATATTATGTAAATAAAAATATTAAATTAAAAAAAAAAACTAAAAAAAAGAAACTTCCAATTCTTTCAAACCTCTAATTTCCTTATTAAAAATTAAAACTAACACAGATTAAAAAAACACAGATTAATTAATCTTTAATCTGTGTTAACTAACACAGAATAAATAAACATATAGAAAAAATTAACAACAAAAAATTTACTAAATAAAATTTTTACTCTTGTTGTGATAACAGATTATTGTGCATATTTAACATTAGTGACAGACTTTTCTCTTATTGTGCAGGTTCCACTAAACTTACCTTATTGCTGAAAATCACTCTAACTTCGATGTACAATACACAGATGCCATAGCAATACAAAACTTATTGCTATACTACTTTAATTTTCCATGTTTTGATTTTTTTTTAATAGAATTCAAAACAACAACTTAAAAATTAATGCGGGGGTTGACTACCGGTTTTTCATTGCTTTCATTCCGTTTTTTATTCAGTTTCTCCTAGAAGGTTTTCGGCATTTCGGCGTTTCGGCTTTTTAGAATTCGGCGTTTTAGAAACTCCCCATTTTTTGTAGAGCAAACAAATACATTTTTTGTTTGACTTAAGTCTTAGACTTATATTAAAGTTTGCGCTTTTAAAACACATCAAATAGACAACTTTCTTATACGAAAAAAGATTTTACATTCAAGCTTTACCCGGGCGAGAGCACTAATAAACTGCGAATGGCAGTGCCGGATAAAGGCGGGGGGCTAGGAAAGACTATAGCCCCGGGCCCCGCAAATTTAAAGGCCCCCAAAAATTTTAGAGGCTCTTTTTTTTTTTTTTTTTTTTTTAGTTATTTTTAGGCTCTGGCCTATAAAAATGCCTCCAAAAACAAAAATAGCCCCGGGCCCCAAGAAGTCTTAATCCGCCACTGGCAAATGGTCTGAAAAAAATCTACAATAAAATGTTTTTCGAAAGTTTCTTAAGAGTTTAAGTTTGTTAAGAATTCAGAAATTTCTTAAGAATTAACAAAACTCTTACGAAATTTATTTAAATTAGGAATGAAAAATTTATTTAGATTAGAAATTTAAAAAATTAAAAATTTAAATTAAATCTTAATAAAGAAAAAATTTATTAACACGTACCCATTTTTTTTTTTTTATAGAAGTTTATAATTTTACAATAAGAAGTTATAAAGTATTGAACATTATTCAGAAAAGTTATAATTTGACAAAACTTTTAAATTTATTACAAGCTTGTAGTACAAATTTAAACTTTTCTTTTGCTTCTGTTCAATAACGTTGTAAAAACGCAAGACAGAAAAAAGTTTGAGAGACTGCTTTGTTAACTGTAATAAATATTTACATGCACTTTAAAAAAAATTTAAAGCAACATAACGGATGGTTTTAAAAAAAGTAAACGCTATACTTTATAGTGGCGTTATATTAGCGTTATATTTTTTTGTTTGCCTTATAATTTGTGTACGTTTGATCAATACTTTTCAAATGGCGAAATCTATCCGTTATATTTCTCCGTTATCTTCATCCGTTAACTTATCCGTTATAATAGGGATTATATTTTTTCGTTCTTGGGCTCTTATTGTTTCAAACGCGATAAAAAAAGGGTCAAGTGCTGATTATATTAATAATTATTATTTATTTTTAGTAAAAGGGAAGCTTATAAAAGGTACTTAAAAAATCGTAGTGAAATAATTATGGCATGTTCCAATTTGTATGCATGCATTGAAAGAACATAGATACAAAGAAAGTTTGTATTGATATGTCATATATCAATATATATAAAATAGAGAGCCACTCAAATACTAAAGTTGAAGCCTAAAATATTTTTCGGCGACCATATTGGAAAGTCCAATAGTATTGATTCGCCGAAAAGTTTTATTTTGATTCTAACGAAGTGACTATTTGTCCGACCAAACAGACGAATAACCTCGGCAAATATTCGTGCGACCAAAAAAGTAAATAAACAAATTTAAAATATCACATAATGGATGTGTGCGTATAACCTAGTGGTTAAGCAAAATCTAAAATTTGAGGCCGTGGAATCCAGCTGCGCGTGTTCTTATCCATATTTTGTTTTAATTATTTTGTTAAGATTTGTAAATTATTTTGTTTGTTTGCGCAATGAAAAAGTACTTTTATTATACAAATAATATAAATTATTCCCAAAAAAATACGTTTTAGAATAATATGCAGAATTTTCGGACACGCAATAGCAGGGATGCGGAGTCCCAAAAAGTACTCCGTATTTGAAAGTCACAAAAAGATTATTTCTTCCTAGTTTTTGGTATCAAGTAGCTCTAAAAATATAAGTTTATGGACTTCCAATAGGAAAAAAATTTTAGGTAAGAGAAACAATCATTTTTTGAACCTGGAGTCCTTAGGTATAATGGCGGCAAGGACTCCAAGCAATATTTAAACTGTCGTTTAATTTATTACACATGCCACTACAGTAGCATCAAAGAAGGAAAACAACTCGTACCAAACGACGCCTTAACCAATAATAGGTGAATTTAATCTACTTTTAATAAACAATAAATTTAAGAATGTTAAATTTTTGTATGTAAACTCTTTTTAATTTATGTATTTTTAAGTACTGTGATGACTGCCGTGCCAAAATTGTGATCAGTGCTGATGATACAAGCAATTTCTTTGAAGGAGTTCAATAATATCCACAACCATAAAGTTAATGAGGTAAATGAAGTATAATGTGATAAAAATGACAGTTATTATTACCTAATAATCTCAACATATGACAGACTCTTTACTCTTTCCAAGTTTATAAATTTCGCACCAGTTTTAAGTAATTGTAACAAAATTTTAATGTACAAAAATGTTACAATATTATATATACATGTACATGTTATAAATAAATGGCTAGGGCAAGAACAAGACAAATTAAGTATTATCGCGAAGCTTCATTAACATAAAAACTACTTTACTAATTTAAAGATTTAAATTTGCTTCGCGGTATTATTTATTTATATATATATATATTATTTTATTTATAAGACTTATTAAAGGTTTTAATTTTAATTTGATAGGCTGCTTTTACTCACATTCCGAACAGCTTTATTTGTCAGCTGAAGAAGTTTCAACTCGTTTCTCCGCGCAGCGGCCTTGTTCGTCAAGGTTCGTGTTTCGGAGTTATAGAGTTGAGAGAGGGTTATAGCCACAAAATAAGTAGCCTTCTCGTCTGTAGTGGCCTTCTCGGCCTTGAGGAGGTGAAGTAAAATGAAAAAAAAAAAAAGTTGTGAAAGTAGAAAGAATGTTGCAACTTGCTAACAAAAAATTAATTCAATGTCATTATATCTTTATGTGAAATATTCACAATATTTTATCAAAGTTATAAAAAAAAGGACACTTTTGATGGTATATTGGAAGTATTGACTAGTGAAGAAGGTATGTGATAATACAATGTAGATTTAGCATCGGTTAATTTTCATTTTATTGAAATAATGTTCTTTTTGCAAAAAGATTTTGTTTCATTTTAGAAAAAACTTGAATTGAATAAAATTTTAGTTGATTAACGGTTTTCGTTGATGTTACGGTTTTATTTGATGTTACGGTTTTAGGAGATATTATGGTTTTAGTTGATATTACGGTTTTAGTTGATTTTACGGTTATAGGTGTTTTATGTAATGTAAGGAAATGTCAATTATATTAGTGATGTATGTAAGGTAATGTCAATTAAATCCAAATACAGTCTACAAACCTAACTTCATTATCATGCAAATCTTAACCAACGAAGAAGAAACATCTTTATCTAATTATCTTTTAAGGGCCTCAAAACTTCACAATGGTTTGTCAACCAAAATAACACGAAAGCTTGCCTATGAATTTACAATGACTTTTTCTAAGCGCATTCCTAAATCGTGAAAAAGTTTACAAATTGCTGGAAAACAGTGGCTTCGTGGTTTTATGTTTTGTAGGAATGAGTTATCTTTACGAAATCCAGAAGCTACTAGTATGGCACGAGTAACTGCTTTTAATTGTTATACAGTCAGAGAATTTTTCACCAATCTAAAAGATGTTTGTTTACAACACAAGTTTCAGCCATAAAACATATACAATGTTGATGATACAGGTCTCACAACTGTTCAAAACCCAGTTCCAAACCAAGCACCTGAATAAAAATACTTAAGATGAAGATTTTTTCCATTCGATGATGAATTATTTAATTTAGTATTAGGTCTTTGTTTAATTTTAATATTAAATTTATTAGTTTAATAAATTATTATTTATTTAACTATTCATTTATCTAAATTCAAAATTAATTATTTATAATTATTAATAAAAAAATATTTCCCGCTGGATAGAAGAAAAAATAGCAGTGCAAACCGTAAAACAAGGAAAAATGTAACAAAGGAGATCATTGAAATGCTCAAGCATTTTGTTGAAAGAAATGAATCTATAACAAGCATTTCCACCTCTCTTAACTTATCTAGAGCACAGTTCAAAACCTTGTCGTTAAGTTAAACAGAGGAGAATTCGATGACATGACAGCATTCAAGTAGTTTTCTGACAAAAAAAAAAAAAAAAAAACGAGGTAAAATACCTCAAATAAAAAATTTTTATAATATTATAATTTATAATATTATAAATATTATATTGAATATATTATATACTATATTGAATAAAATTGCGCAAGAAAATAATCTTTGTACGCAAAAAGCAATCTTTCTGCAGCAGGCTTCAGCATGTCTCAGCCTACTATTTCAAGAAAACTCAAACGCTCGGATTTTTCAAAAAAGTTCGACAATTGTAAACTCTACTGGAGTCTTCTGTTACGTAAACACTAGCCTCATATAGCATTGCTATTAAGTATCTGCCAGCATACACGGGTATGCTGGCAGGGGTACCTCACAAGTTTTTAAATTGTTTTTTGAATCTTTTACTTTTTTAAGTATAAACTACTTTCTGTCAGTTAAGTATGGTTTAAGTTAAAGTAAACTTTTGTTTTTGACACCATAGTTTTCTAGTTTTTCAAAAGTATCTCATGGTTTACTGCGTCAAAAAGCTTTGGATAAATGAAATTAAAAACACCTATATTATAGGAATCACAATAAAATCGATTTGTCATATGCTTGGTTAATCAATCTAATTATTGCATGGTGAGTAGAATGGTTCTTTAAAACCATATTGATTATTTATAAAATCTTATTTTAAGTTATTTATTTATAAGTTATTAAAATTTATAAATAATTTATAATATATTATATTTTAATTTATTTATTTATAAAATAAATTTATTTATAAATTTATTTTAATCCATAATGGCGTTTAATTAGTTTAGAAAATCAGAGCGAGGCTGAAATATGTTATTGTTTGAAATAATAGTTTTATCACTAGATTTGAAAACATGTGTTATTTTTCCAATTTTTTATTAATCCGGAATACTATTCGATTTAATAGAATTGATTGCATTATCATTAATTTGATCTATACCTGCACCTTTTTTTTTCTGACTATCAA